ATCGCGATGAACTGCGATGTTTTCCTTGGATTGCCGATGCGCGGGCGGAAAGATCTTTTGTAGCTCGGCGCTGCGATGCCCGTAGGCGGGATGGCGGAGTGAATTCCGACGCGGTGGGGAAGGCGAGGTTTGCTGGTGATGATAGGCCGGGCGTGGAGGTGCGGGTTGGTGGGGCTGTTGGGGGAGGGAGGATTGTGTGTTAGTATGGTGTGGATAAATATCGGGATCTTTTTTTTTTTTTTTTTTTTTTTTTTTGAAAAATAGAAATGTGCATTGAACATGAAATAAAAAGAGGGATGGGGAGGGGTAAATGGTTAGAGAATGGCATCATACCTGGTGAATTAACTCCAGAGCCAGGTCCTGTGCGCGGAGGTACAAGACCCGCAGGACTCCCCGCACGCGAACCCCGCGGTGTCCCCGTCCTCGACATGACCCCTGGCTGGTTGGGCTTGCGCTTCTTAGCGCCAGCAGCGGTCGAATCGCTCATTTCAGCAGCAGAGCCTATACCGCGTTCACCATCGCTGCCAGATCCAGACCCAGCTGGTCCGTTTCGGCTACGTTTCTTGCCGGCTTGGTCTGCTGGTACTCCTGGCTTGCGATGGCCAGAGGGGCCTGGGGACATGGGCCGCGAGCCGGGCTCGGCATCGGCGTGTTTGCTCTTGGGCTTTTTGCGGGAGGTATCTGTGCCACTGGCGTCGGAGAGGTTGGGGGAGCCGGGTCGTTTTCGAGCGGCGCGGGATGCGGCTTTCTTGTTGAGAGGGTCTGTGTGTTTGGAGCGCCCGGAGGGGGTATTTGTGCCCTTTGTTGATATTCCGGAGTTCTTGTCGGATTCTTTGCCCTTTTCTTTCTTGGCGCGTTCCTCTTCTAGCTTTTGTTGTTCTTCCTTTAATCGCTCTGTCTCGGAATCATCCGAGCTCTGTGTAGGGGTAGATCGATTAGTTACGTTCTAAAGCAAACATGTAGTCAAAGATGAATATAACGTACCTCATCAGAATATGGATTGGCGTCTGAACCACTGCTGTAGTCGAAATTCTTCTCTCTTCGTTGGAGAGCTTTCCGAACATGCTTGCCGAAATTCTTGAGGGCCTCCTTCTCCTTTTTCTCCTGATTCTCTTCTTGATCGTACATATGCTCATCTTTGAGGTCGAAGATGTTCGCCTTAAGCTGGTCTTCTTTTATTCTCTTTTCAGCTACCTTGGCATCTTCATCATCGTCAAGAATGCCAACATGTTCTTCATCATCGGCGAACCTGTCTTCCTCAAAATCCAGGTCATCTCCTTCAAAGCCTTCGCTAACTCCCGAAAATCCTTCTCTCCTACCAGTAAAGAGTCTACTTTGTCTCGCATAGTCCTCCAGCGCTTTCTTCTGGGCTCTATCCTGCTCCTTCTCCATGACCCACCGGGGATCCTTAGCCTTCTTCGCCATAAACTTCTCCGCTTCTTCAATAGTTAGAGTCTTGAAGGGCGTCTTCGTTGTAAATTTGTACCACCTGTCGAGGGGAACCATTCGCATCTTTCCGTCATTTTGAAGCACGAACATCGCATACGTTCCCGACATGGCGGCTTCATAGTTCCCAACCCAAGTGCCTTTATTATCGAAATCGTCAAGATGCCAGGGTAGCGCCTCCTCGTACTTGATCCGCGCTTTCGCAATTTCTGCCGGCGTCATCTCAGACTTGAACACCTGCTGGGTCCGCGGCTTCGGCGCGTTAGTCTTTTTCTGCGTAACAGAAGCTGACGGGGCAATTTGTGCCAAGTTTTCCGCCCGTTCCTTCTCTCTAGCGGCCTTCTTTGCCTCCAATTCCTCCCGCTCAGCTTCGTTGAGCTCGCCGTGCCTCCGAGGGTGCTGGTCATCCCTCTCCACCGCAGGACCAGTATTCGAAGCTCGAGGATCGCGTCGCTGCAATCTAACCGGCCGTGTGAAACTTGATTCATCTCTTGGATCTATGTTCTTCTTCGAGGCAAACTTTGCAACGTGGTGTTTCAATCCCTCTCTCCATGCGCGCTTAGTAGTAATCAACGGATAATCGACGTATGTCTCGGAGAGTAACGGTCCGCTGAATCCGTTTACTGTTAAGTCGTCCGCGCTGGGAATAGCAGGTTTGGCTGGTGCAGGTCTGGGCGCGGCTTGCGGAGGTCGTGGCTTTGGAGATCCTACTCTGCCATTCGTGACTGGCCCTGCTCCGGGCTGTCCTTGTCCTTGCGGTCGTGGGGTCCGTTTCTGCTTAGGTCGAACCAACGGGTCTACCTTGGGACGGCGGATTCTCATCGGCGGCCCAGGTTGGCCGGGAGGAGCTCGCCCCGGCGCAGGCGGATTGGGTGGCGTTGAGCTCATTGTTTTGAGATTCCGTGTCGCGAATAAGGTATTGTCGAGAATGGGTACTGCTGAAGGAAGGGCGCATGTGAATTCAAAAGGAATCGTCGGTAGTGAATCCCATGGGAGCAAAGTTCAGGGTTTCGGGTTTGCTGCTTCTAGGCGGGAAGCTGCAAGTTACGTGATGCTTGGTATGAGCGAAGCCGCGAGAAACAAGCTCTATGAGTTAACTAACAGTCCTGACAACGACGGTATACTAACGAGGACAGATTTTGTATCGACACAACAACAAGAGGCAAACACCAACAATTATAGTTAATCTTGGTGGGATATGAAAGATGTTCGGCAATGAATGAGCTGAAAACAGACGCGGGTTTGATATCAGATCAGAGGGCAGGTCATGTGACCGGCTGCCGATGATGTCAGGCTAAACTCAAACCGGCAATTCTCAACCGCACCGAATTGATTTATTGATAACGTAATCCACCACCTTCTTCGTACAAGTAACAAACCACCTACTTTTATTTATTATTTGATAACTCTATAGTCAAATTTCACAAGAAGAAGATTGGCTGTTTCTCATACAGCACTCACTCGGGGAGGCTGACCGCATTCATCCATGGAAATTATTCACTGTACAAGGAGTCAAGGACTGACTCCTCAGTAGATAACAGCACACGAATGGGCTATGAAAGTTGACGGTTATACATCCTTTCACTCATGGGACAAAGAAGGAGTGGAGAAGGACTTGTGCCAACGATATACCTAGGTATCTATATATATAACTACTGTACGTAACCCAATCCTAACTTCGTAACTCATACCAGCATGTATCCTTCAAAAGGACGATGAACACCAGCTTGGGTGTAGGCCGTATACACACCCTCATATCCTATCATATCAGTTTCGTCTTCTATAGCCATGAATATCCTGGTAATCATCATACCACCCTTCCAAAAGCACCAATCTCACTCACATCTCCCCCTCCCCTCCGAATCCCCACCTCCCTGCATCCCCTTACACCAGTCCCCCCACCACCCCTTCAACCCCTCAACATCCCCTCCCCTTCCCACCTCCGCCAGAACCCCCCTCAACCGCCCCGGCTCACACACAAACCACTCCCGCCCTTTACAATCCTTCTCATATGCATTCAAACTCACCCCTTCCCACTCATGCGTCTTTAAACAGCGAAAGAGCCCCACCGTGCCCACCGGCGGGTTAAAAGCCGCCGCATCGACAAATACGCTAACAGACACGCCCAAGCGCTGCTGCTGCTGCGGCGCGGAGTGGCTGGAGCGCTGGGCGGTGCTAGTGATTGTCGGGTCCATGATGCGCAGATCGCGCTTCGGCGGCATATACGGACGCTTGATAATGTCGGGTGATATCCAGGATATCACGGCCAGGACGTCGCAGAGGTAGTTGCGTTTCGGTAATGGTTTGGCAGGGTGGAGGAGTTGGGAGAGGGTGAGGAGGTTCAGGGGCCGGGATATAGGTTTTAGGATGCCGCGGAGCTTGAAGTGGTAGTGTGTTACGGTGGCTGTGGGTGTAGGTGTGGCGCGGTCAGTTTGTCCATGAGGAGTTTGAGCGGTTGTTTGTGAAGGGGATTGCAATTGGATGGTTTCAGATGGCTGTGGATTTGAGGGGCTGATGTTGAAAGCTGGTAGGCTCTGTGGTTGGATAGGCTTCTCTTGCTCCTGCGTTGGAGTCGGGGTTCCCTGGTCGTCATTTGTACCATCCTGAATAGTTCCTGAAGTCGCATAGTCCCCAAACGACTGGCTTCCAGAGTCGAATACATCATCCAATTTTCCAGCTAGAAGCTCAGAAATCCCGTCCTCAACCAAAAGCCCAGCCTCTTCATTGGGACGAAGATCCGCTGCACCATCCACATCGCTAATCCGACACGCTTTCTCTCCACGTCCAAATCCCCCAGCACCACCACCATTATCCTCACCACCAATATCACCACCCCTCTTCCTCTTCCTCTTCCTCGCAACCACCCGTACCTCCACATCAACCCCCTCCCCCTCCCGCCCACTTCCACTAAACCCCATTTTCCTCAAACACCTAAACGCCCCCACAGCCAAAAACACAACCTGCCCCACACCTCCACCTTCCCCGCCGCCACCACCAATCCTCTCCGCCCACCTAATCTCATACCTCTCCAACCTCACCACAGCCCCAACCCGCACCTCCCCCGCCAACGCGAACGGATGCAGCGCCTTGCCCAGCAGCGCCTGGATGACCAGCTCGCCATCGCTGAGGAATACGCGATATGACCGGCGCGTCGGTCTCGCGGCGGTGGTGTTAGTGCCTGCGGTGGTTTCGGGTGTAAACAGAACCTCAATGACACGCTCGACGCGCAGGGTTAGGTCTGGGGGGTGGTAGCCTGTGCGCAGGAGCTCGGCGATGCAGGGGCGGAGTTCGGGGTCGGGCGCTGTGTTGTTGGTGGTGGTGGGTGGGCGGTAATCCTGTGATGGATGGGACAGGTTAGATTCTAGGAGGAAGGAGAATTTGTCTCATTTACTATTCACCGTACGTACCATGACAACCTGGTTGAATTCTCCATGGCGGAGGTTGGTGTTATTCGGCCTGCGTTTTCGGCATTGAGCAAATCATGGACGAGAAAGCATAGGAGTGAGTTTGGGGGGGGGAAACCTCCGGGATTTATCTATCACCAGGAAGGCTGCTGTTTCTGGAAATATACACGATTCCGCTAATCTTGGACCAACTTATAATAGATATCCCAAAAGTAGAATTATAACAAATCGGCTGATGACTTGCAGAAAATAATTTAAGTTCCGTGACGCGTTGGCGTAGTTAGTTAATTAAAGTTGGTATCCGCGCGTTAACTTCATAGACGCGACGATTTCCGATAAGCGGGGGATTATCACACTCGAAGCTACACCGAGGAAATGGATTACGCGCTACGGATGCCTTTCAATAGCCATGTGCTCGATTCTTCCCAGTCGTACGTAGGTTGAACAGGAGTTGAAAATCAGATAAGAAGGAGGAAATGGAAAACCATCTATGAAAATTTCTTTCTATCTATCATCTATGTAAATGTATGTATAAAAAGAACGTACGTCAAAACACCTCCACAATCTCCTCATCCTCTTCATCCGCCCCCTTCTTCTCAAACTCCGCTTTCACCTTCTCCATCGTCTCCTCCTCCTCCCCCTTCCCCTCACCCTCCTCATCCCTCAACAGCACCTGCACAAGCCGATCACACCCCTCGCGCGTCCCCTCATCATCAACATGCAAATGACACTCCCTAATGATCGGATACACATTAACCGCCCGCATCAGGTCGCGCCCCTCCCGCGTCGTCGTCAGCAGCAACAGCGTCTCCAGATGCGTCGCAATGATATCCTTATCCGAGTCGCGCTGCTTGTCCGGCGGCAGCAGCTGCAGATCCGGCAGCATGGCCGCGCTCTCTTCGTCGGTGAACTCCTCGGGCCCCGCGATGGGCAGCAGCAGGTAGGGCAGGATGTTCACCTCCGCCTCCGCGAGCAGCTGCGGATGCGCCTGGATCTCAAAGGCGATGTTCTTCAGCGTGGACGCCACGCCCTTGCGGCGGATGTGGCTGCGGTGCTCGGTGAAGACGGTGAGCTTGGTGATGGGGATGGCGGCGTCGTAGGCCTGGCGGGTGAGGAAGTAGGCTCTGCCGGCGTCGAATTTGGAGAGGTCGGCGAAGACGTAGGCGAGGTAGTCGTAGTTGGCGTCGGTGGCTTTGTTGATGGCGCCGTCCTGGCCCTTGATGAAGCAGTCCATGAGCTGGTCGAGGGCGTTGGGGGAGTCGGAGACGTCCTTGGGCACGCTGCGGGTGAGGGTTATGATGCGTTTGAAGCTGTCGGATTTGGCGAGGTTGGCGAGGAGCATGGTTATTTCGTTGGCGTGGGGTTCTTTCTTGTTCTGTGATTCTGTAGTTAGGTATTCGTAGTTATGGGTGTGTTTCGCATCTAAACTAGCACCTAAGCCGACAATGGAGGGGAAAGAATAATTACCGTGACTTTGCCCAGGAGGGTTTCTAGGAAGGCATCATCTTCGGCCAGCTCTTTGAGTACCTCCTCGTCCCCAGAGAGGTTTATCAATATCGTCAGGGCATTTTTGGCAATTGGCTGGAGGTCGTGCAAGGGGGTGTCAGTTTATCTTCTTAAACCCATTCAACTACACTATGCCAAAAAAAAAAAAAAAAAAAAAAAAAAAAAAAAAAAAAAAAAAAAAAGACAATGGTGGATACTAACAGCATAATCCCGAACCAGCAGTTTAAGATCCCTCACTGGCAGAAGCTGATGAACCTTGAACAGCGCATGTTGCGATATCGAATATCCAAGCAGATTTTCACATGCTGCACTTTCACACCCGTCAGCTAAATAATCAAATAACAAGCAAAGACGCAAATCGAGGGAAAAGAGGGAAGGAGAAAGTAAGGCGCATTGCCAATTGCCAGCAGGTATAGCAGAAGGGCGGGGGGTTTGCACAGACGGACCTATCTGTCTTATCTGGGAGTTTCCATGATGAAGGAACTCTACAAGCTATATTATAGATACATAACGCGAGAGGCTCCCAGGTTAGTTCCAAAACACGTAACAGTTCTCCTCTTCATCGTAGCTAATAACGGTAATAGCGGGGAAAGGGGAAGGAAGATCTCATACCTCCTCCAGTTCCGAGGGCATAAGTGCGGTGGTTGCCCGCTATAGATGCACAATTTCAGCGAAGGACGGGGGGAATTTGTAAATTACAGGGTTGTTGAGGATAGAGATTGGAATGGCGATAGTGCGCTGGCGGGGGGGTATTTGTTCATTGGAGAAATAATAGATTGATAAGTTAGTTAGTTATAAAAAATAGCTGATATAAATACAACTCTCGACTCTCGATATTTCGCTCTGAAATGCGAAAAAAATGACGCAGGAACAATTTTGCTAGTTATTCTGCTTAGTCAGCCAGCCCTAGCCTAGGTGCCTCCTATTTATTTATTTATTTACGAGGAAGTTCTTTACAGTAGTAATAATATTCTGTTTTAATCCTATTTTATCCTGTTCTATTCTATTTTATTTTATTTTATTACCTAGGTACTATCATATCATTCATAGCTGTTTGTTTCAACTTGTAGTTAACTACGTTCTTAATACTGATCTCTTCCAATATCATATCCTCCTCCTTCTCCTCGATTAAAAATTCCCTTTGTCAATGAACCTGTCAGTCAACGCGCCCTCCGCCCAGTAACAGGATTATTTGGATAGATAGAATATTTAGATAGTAACGTTACTTAGGCATGGAAGATGCATGGAAGGAAGGAATATTTAGCCCTCTATTTTGCTCTTCTAGCTTGTTACCCCCGAAATATTTTACACTGCATATATATATATATATACTCAGCGTACGGAGTATATACTCCGCATATATATAAATATCAGCAATCTTCCTCTCCTTTGCAATATATATATCAATTGCCAACCTCCTCCTCTGCTGCTAAATACATTTAATTCCATCGCAAAGTTCCGTTCCTATTATAAATATCCCCCTGTCAGCTCCACTAATTTAAATAAATACCAGCTCATCCAAGAAAAAAAAAAAACAAAAAACAAACAAGCAATAGCTATAAACTCACCACACCAACCACCCCATCACCAACAGCAAATCGCAACAATGGCAACCAACGGCGTCAAGGTCCCCGCGCCCGATCTCCAGGAAATCCATGACTTCCTCATCGACCTGGCCACCCGCGCGGGAGAAGTCATCACCGGCGCAAAGCCATTGGTCCATGGCGTCGACTCCAAGAAGAACAGTACGTCTTCCAGATATTCTTTTCTTTCCCCGTAGAACTGTATAAACATCTTAACTTCTTGTTAACGTGTCAATTGCTGCGATCCAGGCTCCGATCTGGTAACGGAATATGACCGCGCTATTGAGGCTATGGTCTCCAAGGAGCTCAGAGCTAGATATCCCACTTTCGAGTAAGCTATTGATCTATCTATTGATCTATCTATCTATCTATCTATATGTCCTTCGCTCGGCCACCACTAACCCTATTATTCCCTTTGTTCGAAACCCCAGATTCATGGGCGAAGAAACCTACCACCCCTCCAGCCCCCTCACCGACGCCCCCACCTTCATCGTCGACCCAATCGACGGCACCGTAAACTTCGTCCACGGCTTCCCAAACTCCTGCATCTCCCTCGGCCTCGCCATCCGCAAAAGACCCGTCGTCGGCGTCGTCCTCAACCCGGCCACCAACACCCTCTACTCCGCCATCGCCGGCCGCGGCGCATTCCTCAACCGCACCACCCGCCTACCGCTCAAGGGACCCGCCCTCGAACCCCTGCGCGGCCTCAGCAACGCCCTGATCTCCGTCGAGTGGGGCTCCGACCGCGCCGGGCGCAACTGGGAGACTAAGCTGCGCACCTTCGAGCGGCTGGGCAAGAGCCGCGAGGCGGGCGGCGCGATGGTGCATTCCATGCGCTGCTTGGGGTCCGCGGCGCTGAATATGTGTGCCGTTGCGGCGGGCGTGCTGGATCTGTATTGGGAGGGCGGGTGCTGGGCGTGGGACGTGTGTGCCGGGTGGGTTATTGTGACGGAGGCGGGCGGGATGGTTGTTGATGGGAACCCCGGCGGGTGGGAGGGGGCGGTTGATGGACGGAAGTATCTTGCTGTGCGCGCGTCGCCGGGTGGGGAGGGTCAAAGGGAGATTATCGAGGAGCTTTGGGGGCATATGGTCGGGACGTTTGATTATTCGGAGTAAACAATGGGGTTCTTCTTTTCTTTTTCCCTTGTCTTTCTATATCCACACGCTCTCCCAGGCCTTTTAATTTCTAATTTGATTTTTCTTTTTTCTTTTTTCCTTTCCTTTTCTCTTTGGATAGAACCAGTCGTTTGTTCTAGATTAGTTACGGCTTAGAAAATCTACCGTATAAAGCCAATAGAATAAAAGTTTGTCCTTCATCTTTTCGAATATTTAAACGGCTAAATATTGTATCTGCGCCAGTTAAACTGCTGGATTATAATAGCTGGACTGAAGCTGGAGCTGCAAGTGTCATTAGCCAGAGCTGTCCTTGCTGTTTCTGAAGAGTCTGTTTATTTATCTGCTATTAATATGCTCCCTTTACCGATATGAACAGGAGAGCGATACAACCTCCTCCACGAAGTAAACCTGAATGGACAAGAAGCAGCAATAAAGAAGCAGAGACACAGACACAGACACAGACACAGACAACACAGCAACCAACTAACAGTCATGTTTCGATCCGGATTCTTGTTTCTCCCTTTTGCCCTCTCATCGTTCGTGAAAATAACCATCACAATAACCACTAAACTTGCTCACTGGACTGACTGCTGGTGATGATGATGACATGACAATAATGCTGATGATATCGAAGAGACGCGGTTGAATTGGCCAGGGCCGCCAGTACAAGTGCTAGGCTAGGGCATCCCTTCCCTCGTCTTGCCAGCTGGCCAGCAGCCGTTGGCTCTCTCTCACTGCGAGCCTGAAAGCGTGGCATGCAAAGCTACCACATCCACATCCATCGCTCGCCGCCCGCCCTGCTTCACCACCTTTTCATTCGGCTTTGCCCAATGGAGCCCTATCTTCCCTTCTCCATTTCTCTTTGTTCTATCCTTGAATAAGTAAAGTGAGAGAGAGAGGGATGCCACCGCTCTACCTATAGCGGGAACCGAGCGGTTGGGTTGCGATTTGGGCAGGGTGTTCTATTTAACCACTTTTCTTCATTGCCCGTCATCGTCATCAAACCACCAACCCCCCCCCCCCCCCTTTTTTTTTTTATTGCTTTTCTTTTCTTTTCCTGCAACCGGACCTGTCCACATCTCAAAATGCGAACAGTTCATGCAACCCTCGCTGGCTGCCCGGGTGGTTGTGACATGGATGTTTTTCTGTGGTGGTGCTGAGGGGGGTGAGCGCCTCTATGGCCCAATTGCGGCATTCTCTCCCGTTTTCAGTATGCCGGATTTCTTTACACCTACAGAGAAGCTTTCGGACTGGAGGCTGGAGGGATGGGTGGGTGGCATGAGGGATGCGAGATATTAGATGTGAGAACCTGAGGGTTCAATTGCTGTTTGTTTTTTACTCTATACGGTTTTGCCGTTTTACCTTTCTACTTCGCTGCTGCTAGTATTGACATACTCCTCCGGGCAAGCTGCTTTCCTGATGATAGATATGAGGAACGAACTTCTCTGAGAAAAGCACACGAATCTTTTTCAGTTCGCATTCGTTATAGTTTCACCCAATTTACTAGCAATGAGGTCCAAGGATGGAAACGAGAGAGAGCTACTCTACTCCAATAATGCTTACGAATTCGCGACCTATATAAAGATGGCTCCAATCATCCGGCATCTATTTTTCTTCGCTACATCAAGCAAAGCTGCAGGACGGACGGCCAGTTTGGGTAATAAGATAGTGCGCACTACGGCGAGTTCTGAAGCGGAACAGCACCATCATCAACACCACCACCATCATTCACGCCGATCTAAGGAAGGTGAGGAGCATAAACGCCGTCGGCGCAAGTCTCAGCGGACCCATTCTACGGAGGAGAACCCCCAAAAGCCCGCGCGAGAAAGCCATAGGACGGCCAACGATGTCGAGGCTCCTAGGAGGAGCCAATCTCGCAGATATCGTTCGTCGTCAGTATCGATACCCGTGGACCTAAGCAATGGTGGAGCCCCCCGTTCAACGACGTCTTCTAGATCCAGAGCGAAAGCGTCGACACACAGGGATCCCCCCAATCGAAGCGCTACGCAGCGCGCCGTTGCGGATTCTTGGACAAGACACAACAAACCTGGCCCCATATCCCTCCCCCTTCGGCTTGGAGAGCAATCGGACCGGAAACTTGCAACCAAGGCGCCCAAGTCACCCGCCATCAAGAATAGGTCTGAAAAACGCTTGTCCACTGAAAAGAAGGGTAAAAGGGGCACGGGGTATAAGAGAACCACGTCTTCCCCGTCGGTGCCAGAAAGGACGTGAGTACCATTTCTCTATTTGTTCGACCATGAGACTCTTCTCTCCTCTTTTTTATGATTGTGTTCTTTTTATTCCCGATTTGACCCTTCAAATATAGAGTGACATGTTTAACGTGTCTCGACGATATCCCCGTGAGCAAGGCCGCCCAGCTCACCTGCTCCCACAGCATGTGCGAGGACTGCCTCAAGCGCGTATTTACCATGTCCGTGACCGACCCGCAACACATGCCTCCCAAATGCTGCACGTCAGACCACATCCCCCTCCGGCACGTCGACAAACTCTTCGACGTAGAATTTAAAATCAAATGGAACAAGAAATACCAAGAATTCACCACCGAGAACCGCTTATACTGCCCTACCAAGGATTGCGGTGAGTGGATCAAGCCCAGCCAGATCCATCTTGACACCAGCGGCGGCGCCACGGGCGGCCGCAGATACGGCATATGCGGGAGCTGCTCCACGAAAGTCTGCGGGCTCTGCAATGGCCAATGGCACACGGGCAGCGAGTGCCCCAAGGACGACGAGACGAGACGCTTCGTCGAGGCCGCCAGGGAAAACGGCTGGCAACGTTGCTACGGCTGCTCGGCCATGGTCGAGCTGACCGAGGGTTGCAACCACATGACCTGCCGCTGCGGCGCGGAGTTCTGCATCATATGCGCCGCCCGGTGGAAGACGTGCGCGTGTCCCTGGTTTAACTACAGGTATGTCCCCGAGCTAGACGCAGACGACGGGGTTCCCCGGCCGCAGGTCCAGCAGGAGCATCACGCGAGGGATTATGAGCAGGACCATGTGGACTATTTCGCCGCGATCGCGGCTGCCGCTGCCGCTGCGGCTTTTCGTAGGCAAATTCCTGGTGGTTTCGCGGCGAATCCAGATGAAGAACACCTCCAGCCGGAAGGCATACATGATCCACTACCGGCCGGGGTCAATGGCAATGGGGCCTTTATCGACCCGTTTGAGGAAAGGGGTGATGGCGAAGCTGCGCCAGCTCGTCCGATTCCCAGGCCTCTCCAGCGACAACAACCTGGTGTGCGACGGTATGATGAGAATCTGTTTTATCCTTTTTAGTGGCATAATGTGCGTTTGGAACGGCGGTTTCTCCTGGGGGGCGGAGAGCTGACGCGTGTGCTTTGTGGGATTGGAGAAGGGATGGCAGATCTGGGGTATCCGGGGTAGATTGAAATCTTTTTGAATGAATGCTTATTGGTCTTTTCGTTTGCATCATCATTTCTGTACATTTATATTTAATAAATAATAGCATTTTCCTCCTTTTTTTTTTTTTCTTTTTCTTTTTTTAATTTCCTCCACAAAGAGACATAGACGGCGAGCACAAAGTACCGCCCCCGGCTATCCCGCGGTGACATGAAAACAATCCCACAGTCATGTCCATTCCCTAATATCTTTGCAGCTAGAACTCGTCGGTTGCGATATGATATCCCATCTAAAGATCTAGGTACCGCGGCAATTTGATTAGTCAGGCGCCAACTTTTTCCGCCCCGCGAGCTCTCACATCCGATTCCTACTCGGCGTCATATATATGTACATAACAATAGTGGTTCTTACTGATTAACACTAACAATTGTATGATCTCGCCAATCTGCAATCATGTCTATCAGACTAGGTTTTCTTTCAGACTTTACGCAGGCTCGATATGTGATTCATCTTTCGGATGGTAAACGGCTGGTGCTCTTCCGTTTACCTTCAATTGAGCCCTCCGCATCCGGATTCACATCCACGGCCACAGCCACAGCCACAGCCACATGCACACGCAGGGCCAACGAAACGTCAGATGGATGGTCGTATTACGCTATGGAGGCAGAATGCCCTCATGCCGGGGGTCCGCTGGAAGAATCCCACGTTGATATTGAAGATTCCGCCTACGTGGTGTCATGTCCCTGGCATGCGTATGACTTCAACGTGGAGACGGGGGAGTCGAGTGTTGGGATTAAAACGTGCACGTTTCCGGTGGAGATTACGGATGAGGGTGTGTTCTTGCAGTATAGCTTAAGCGGCGTGGTGCTGGGCAAGGTAGAGCCTGTCAGCGAGAAGGTCATGTTGAAGAACCGCGAGAAGCGCAAGAAGAGGAAGAAGAAGAAGCAGCCTGAGGCCACGGCAGCTACGATTGATACTGATATCGATATGTCCACTGCAGCTTCTGAGGCTATGGATGGAGGAGTCGAAGAAGGCGAAGAAGTAGAAGAGGATGCCAACAGTATCCCTCACTATCTTGACGAACACGCTACATTCTGCGATTGGGCTGTCCACATCCTAAACACAGCCAATCCAGAACACAAAATCGAACTAACCACCCATCTCTTCTCTCTCTTCGCTCAAAAGGAAACCTCTCCCACCCCCATGCCCCTAGGGCGGGGAACCGTGGCTCCTCCAGACCAGCCGCCCCGCCCAGAGAACCTATCCGAAGTCAACCCCTGGGAAACCCGCAAACCAGGCCGAGGCGGCAACCTCAAAAGCCGCATCGCCATGCTCCACGCGCTCGCCAACATCGAGCTCTGGGCCATCGATCTCGCCATCGACATCTGCGTGCGCTTCTCCGCCTTCCAAACAAACACAGATCCCCAAAAGCACCTCCCCCGCACCTTCTTCCACGACTTCCTCAAAGTCGCCGCGGACGAAGCGAAACACTTCTCCCTCCTCCGCGCGCGCCTCGAGCAACTAGGCTCTCACTTCGGCGCGCTCCCCGTCCACCACGGCCTCTGGCTCTCCGCCACCGAGACCGCGCACGACATCCGCGCGCGCATCAGCATCATCGCG